TGTGTGTGTGTGTGTGTGTGTGTGTGTGTGTGTGTGTGTGTGTGTGTGTGTGTGTGTGTGTGTGTGTGTGTGGTCAAACAGCTGTGAAATAGACTCGCAGCTCTGTAAATTGGCTGCTGCTCTCTCAGATTAACACAAGTACAAACACGGTCAGAGCAGGAGAGCTGCAACCAATGCAACTTCAAAAGCACTTTCTGCCCTTATCTTCGCCCGACGCACACACACAGACACACACAGACACACACAAACATCACAGGTGTTGTGTAACGCTACGACCGGCGTCGGCCGTACGAGGCGTCCGCCGGCAGCCGGGTCACCTGTGGGCCGAGTGTGGACGCGTGATGTGGAGATGGGTCTTAAAGCAGATGGAGAGGAAGCAGATAAGAGGATGATGCAGAAGAAAGAGGCGCGACATTAAAGGATGTTTCAGACGAGACCGGCGCTAATCGATCGGAGGCGACGCTCAGCGTGGCCGAGTGTTTAGGAGTGTGTGTCGCAGTGTTTAGGAGTGTGTGTCGCAGTTTGTGTTTTCACGACTAAGACAGTCGAGGACGAGACCTGAGATCCACAGAAACCAGCACAAAGAGGAGGACGGACCCACAGAACCAGTTCAGACCTGTTCAGACCAGTCTGAGATTAATATAGAACCAAGTCTAAAACCAGTTCAAACCAGTTCAAAGCCAGTCTGAGATGAATATATAACCAAGTCTAAAACCAGGTCTAAAACCATGTAAAACTAAGTCCAAAACCAGGTCCAAACCAGTACAAAACCAAGTCTAAAACCAGTACAAAACCAGGTCCAAAACAGTGTAAAACTAGGTTCAAAACCAGTTCAAAACTAATACAAAACCAGTCCAACACCAAATCTAAAAGCCAGTCCAAAACGAGTCAGAACCTGGTCTAAAACCCAGTTAAAAACCAAAGCTACATACAGTCTACAACCAGGTCCAACACCAATGTAAAACCAATACCAAAACCAGTTCATCACCAGTCTAAAATAAGTCCAAACCAAGTCTAAAACCAAGTCTAAAACCAGTCCAAATGCAGGTCCAAAGCCAAGTGTAAAACTAAGGGTAAAACCAATTCAAGTCCAAGTCTAAAACCCAGTCCAAATCCACTTCAAGTTCAAAAGTAGTCCAACATCAAGTCTAGAACCCAGCTGCAAAACCAAGTCTAAAATGAGTTCAGAACAATATCTAGAACTGGTCCAAAACCAGTTCAGGATGAATCTAAAACCAAGTCTAAAACCAAAGCTAAACTTTGTCTAAAATCAGATCCAACACCAATTTAAAACTGATCCCAAAACCAATCCAAAACCAGGTCCTAAACTGGATCTAAAACCAGTTCAGCACCAGTCTGAAACAGGTTTTTAGGACGTGACGGCTGTGGAAGTATTTTGCAGACTTGAACTGAGGATGTTTCATCGACTGGAGCCAGAATCATTAAAATCTTAGAAGCGACCGTGATCATGAAATTTAAATGTCATTATTGAATATTTAGAGGCTTCCTGCTGAGTTTAGCTCCAAAAAAAGTTGCTTGTTTTTCACTGAAGCGCATTTTTCTATTCTTATTGACACAAACTGGTTCTGAATCCCATTAAAGTCGACCCCAGCCATGTTTATCCAGCAGCTCGCACGCTACCAAAGGGCTACGTTCAATTAAACCTGTGTTTACGTTCAGGTGATGGCGCCATCTGGAGGCTGTTTTAGCTGATGGGAATAAAGAGGGCTGTGAAGAGGGAGGAGGTCAGGGTGGAGGACTGGGTCAACGCTCAACTCTTGTTGTTTCTTTTAACTGTAAATGCAGAAACCTGCACGCGACCGCAAACCATGAAACTTAAATGTCGCTGTTGAATATTTAGAGGTTTCCTGCAGACTTTGGTGGAAAACAAACCGTCTTTTGCAGCTAAAGCACATTTTAAAAATATTCTTATTGTAAATTTTTGGCACAAACTCGTCCTGAATCCGTTAAAATCAACCCCAGATGTTGTTTATCCAGCAGCTCACATGCTAATAAATGTGATGTTTAGGGGACAGCGCCCTCTGGAGGCGGTGTGAGTAGATGGGAATGAAGGACTGTGATGTGTCATACAGTCTCTGTAGGGAGGAGGTTGGGGTGGATGGATGGGTCAGTCCAACACTGAACTCTTAACATAACGCTACAGTCCATGGAGACGACAGTCAGCCGGTCTCAGTCTGAGTGGATCCGACATGAGAATGTTTTATTTCACGCTTTTCAAAGTCCTTTTTGGTTTTACATCCGCCTGAGTAAACAGTGAGGTGGTCCTTTAGATCGGCCGACTCGTTGGGTGATCGATAATTTGGTGATTATTGGTGAGATTTGATCATTTACACGACATTCGTCCCCACAGAACCGACGGTTCTGCATCATGTTTAAGGAAAATCCGAGAAAACCTGATCTGCCGTCAGAGAAGCTCTGTGACAGACACTCAGAGAAATGGTTTGACTGGAAGTTGGAAACTGAACCACTTCTCATAACACAAAGGGACTCCGACCAATGAGGAGAGGTCACATGACCGTCTGCAGAAGGTAGAGCTGCACCGTCAGGTGTTACAGCCGAGGACGGTTCTGGACGGGCGGAGGTTAGAACACGAAACAGGGTGTAAAACCACAAAATTGGATCAAAACCAAGTTTAAAACTAGTTTAGAAACACTTTAAAACCANACCAAGTCTAAAATGAGTCCAAATGCAGGTCCAAAGCCAAGTGTAAAACCAATTCAAGTCCAAGTCTAAAACCCAGTCCACGTCCAGATCCAGATCCACAACAAGTTCAACACCAGTCCAACATCAAGTCTAGAACCCAGTTGCAAAACTGAG